GCGAACGGGAGCGCGCGAACGGATTTTAAGAGATTTTTTTTTTTGGGGGGGGGGAGGGAGATTTTTCCTTATTTTTGTTACAGGAATTACGTTAGTTTTTCATAACTTCATCGGTCATATTCGTTAACGTTTCGGTCATTTTATTAATTTATAATTAAACCACCCAATCATCCTCCCTCCCTTCCTCCTCCCTCCCACTCTCCGTTCTCTCTTTCTTTCTACAATTAATTTTCCTAGGATTTCATTATAAATTCTCTCCTTGCTTTCGAAAAACTTGAGAATTTTTTAGAGAATTTAATTTCGGTTTCACGTCGACCCTCGTCAAATCGACAAAATCACGCTGAAAATAAACCGCAACAGCAACAGCACCAACAACAACAACAACAACAATAATAATAATAATAATAATAGTAAAACAAGTTAAATGACAAGAAGGTGGTTTGTCGAAGGAAGGAAGGTTTCAAAGGAAAATGTCAGTCAGACAGTGAACACGACGGGAAAGTTTAAAATCACGTGGGCGATACCCGAAAAGAGTCAACGGTTTTGACATCAAAAAAAAAAAAAAAAAAGGACGCGAAAAGGATCGACCGCGGAGGAACCGCAACCGGAAGTTGATTTTTCACAGTAGTACCACCACCACAGCCTGAACGAACACAAAAACAAGTTTAAGAAAAATTTGTCGCGATTAATAACGAAATCGATAATGATGATAATAATAATAATAATTCAATTCTTCATAGCCGTCGGAATTCATACGAAAATTTTTTTATTTTAAATTGATGCGATTTTTATAGTTTGAAAATTTATTACCTGCGTAATAAATTGTCAACTTTTTTCATTTATTGGAATCCGTTATCATGTCCGAAACGATCGTTAAGATCCGTCGCTTAACGACGCCATTTTGAAAAAAAATATATGAAATTTTTAACCGAAAATGTTCCCCACACAAAAAAAAAAAAGTAATTTTTTATATCGAAGAAAAAAAAGAAGAAAAAGAAAAAGTGGTTTGAAAGTTAACGAAGGAAAGGAAGAGGAAGAAGGAAAACAGGAACGATGATGATGATGATGATCATTATTATTATTATCGTTTTTCAAAAGGCAATGCAAGCGGGGAACCCCATAAAAAAGTAACATGTCATCAATACAAAATAATTAATAATTATCGAATTTTTCTCTACTTTTTTTTTTTTTTACTTGCGTAGGTTCCCACCCCTTCCCCCTCCCCACAAAAAACGAAACGACCGAAAAAACACGAAGATTGATTGATTGATTGATTGAATGAATGAATGAATGAATGGATATATATAAACCGATCAAATAAAAAATTTATATGTAAAAAAAAAAAAAAAAACTAGAAATTAATTTTCCCGATTTTTTTTTTTTCCGAAACGAAACATTCGAGAAACTTTTTGTTTCCTCCTCCTCCTTCTCCTCCTCATTCCCCCGTTTTTTCTCCCCAAAATAACCCCCGCGTCTCGGGGGGTGATTGAAATTTCTTTTAACGAATTCAAATTAAAATCCTTTCTGGGCACTTTCCCGCTTTTTTCCAAAAAAAAAAAAAAAAATCCAGACTAGAACGAGCGACATTTTCACGCACTTTTCCTGGCACAAAAACCAAATAATAATAATAATAATAATAATAATAATAATAATAATAATAATAATGATAATAATAATAATAAAGGGAATAACAAACCTTACGACGTCGACAAGACCGCGAATGAAACATAAAGTCAAACAACATTCCCGAACGGTTTCCTCTCCGGCTCTACAACGGCTAAAATTTTTTTTTTTTTTTTTTCTTCCTTCTCTCTTTTTCATCCGTGTTCGTTTCCCCCCTCTCTTTCTTCCTCCTCCCCGTTCTTCCCTTTTTTCCCTTACAAACTTTTCGTCACGCATATTCCTAAAGAGAGGACAATGATATTCTTTTCTTTCTCTCTCCCCCCCCTCTTTCTTTCTTTCGTTTTTATTTACCTTTTGCTTTTCTTTTTCGGTTTTTTCTCTTTTTCGCTTTTTCCCGTTTCGCATTATACCGTTTTCGAACGGTCATTTTGTCACGCCTTTTCAACTGCGACCGATAAATAATAAATATGAGGGGAGGAGTAAGAGAACGAATTCGGAATCGATGGATGGGCCGTAAAAAAAAAAAAAATGTATTTATAAGAATAATAAATAAATAATTACAGAGGGATTCCGATGTTTTCGTGGGGGGTCGGTGGCGGGGATGGTGAAATGGTGGTGCCGACGGCAAGCGTTTTTTTCCTTTCTACGGTAACGAAAACATCCTTGAAAATTAAAAAAATGTTCGCGATGCCCCCGTGATGCCCTTTCCGGACGATGAAAAACAAAAAAAAACTAAAGAGGGGGAGAGGAGGAGAGAAGAGGAGAAAGTTCGGGAAACGGATGCATCTGCAAAGGCCGTAACCGTAACGCAATATCACCATAATCGAATAATAATAATAATAATAATATTCCCCCTCCCACCGAAAGATTTATTCGAGATTTAATAGTTTGTCAAAGTTTTTAAAGTTTTTTTTTTTTTGGGGGGGGGGGAAGGGGGAAACAGCAAATCTTTCTTTTTCAAAAATTGGTTCATCGTTTAAGGTCAACAGAACATCTCCGGGTCACTGAGTTCATCCCGATTTGACCCGATTAGGAAAAAAAAATTTTTTTTTGGAACGATCGCAACCGTAAACAATCGTAACGAAAATAAAACTTACAATTAGTTTTATGCGATTACAACAAATACAACAATAATAATAATAATAATAATAATAATAATAATAATAATAATAAAATAGTTTAAATAGGTCAAGGGTCATTCCAAATTAGAAACCGTATTTAGATAACGATAATAAATAACAATTTACAAAGAAAAAACAAAAACAAAAAAAAAAAAAGAAAATTTTATTAAATTTTTTTATTAATATTTTATTAAATTCACCAGAATTTAATTAATAAATGGATGGCGTGAAAGGCCATGTTTTCGCGCGTGGGCGTTTACAATTATTATTATTATTATTATTATTATTTTTCTCCCGAACGCCTGACCCGATCAGATTCTTGTTTTTTTTTTTTTTTTTTTTTTTTTTTTTTTTTACGGAGTTTTCAATTAAATAATAATGATGACTAAACGTTGTGTTTGTCGGTTGATTCGTAATTAATGAATCACGACAGCAGGGTTTTTGCCTGCCTACATCATCATCATCATCATCATCATCATCATCGCTTCGTTAAAGTTTTTAACGTCAACGTTTTCCCTTTTTCATCCCCACAAATTTAACGTTTTTTTTTTTTTTTTTTTTTTTAATTTTTAAATTACCTATTCCATTTAAGAATTATAGAAAGAAAAAAAATAATAATAATGATAATGATGATGATGATGATGATAAAAAGCATCAAAAAGAATTCATGATGTACTTTTCATTAAATAAAGAATTAAAAAAAAAAAAAAAAAAAAAACGTTTTAAATATAAATTTTCCTTTCTCTTTCTCTCTCTTTCTCTCTTCTCACTCTCTCTACCTTTTTCTAACAACGTTCCTACCCTTTTTCCTTTACCTATTCAATGCACCTCCCCGATAATTTTTTTTTTTTTTTTTTTCGTGAAAATTCTTTTCTACGAATTCGAATAATTACGAGATGTGGTGGTTATTGTGATCGTCCTGATGGTGGTCGATAAAAAATTTCAAACAAACAAAACAGAAAAAAAAAAGTAGTAAAAAAAAATCGGGTCACAGAATTTTCCGGAAAAGGAAATGAAAAATAAAAAAAGGCATTCTTATCCGAGTAACCTTGAGAGTGGGGGGCTGGGCGCGCGGGGCGGGGGGTGTGTGTGTGGAAATAGTCACGATTTTTGTGCCATCATCAACATCCAATAAACAAATAATTATTATTTACCTCCAAATTTGAAGCTTCTATTCCGGGTTTCCGGTAATCGGGATGAACTCTTCGAACAATGAAAAAACCCAAAACTCCACTTCCGACGAGTATTGACACGTATTTTTTAAAAAATGATTTTCTTTCGACTTGAAACCCATTTTCTGTTGACACGTTACTCTTCACACTTGTACCCAATCTTTTCTCGTGTTTCCACATTAAATATCGTAATATTCTACCCGTTCCATACGTTATCACTCTGGAACAAAAAAAAAAAAAATTATTATTATTATTAACCTCGAGTTTATTAAACCGTGACAAACAACACGTACATATATATATATATATATATATATATATATATATATATGGGGTGAACAAAAACAAACAAACAAACAAACAAACGAAAAAAAAACGGATGGAAAAACGGGAAAAAACAAATTTCCACAATCAATTTAACAAACGATTCTCAACTTTTTTTCCCCAAAAATTTATAAAAAAGGTCGCGTTGACCTCACGGTCAACCTATTTATCCAAAATTTTCGGGAATAATTTATCCTTAATAAAAAAAGGGAACGCTATGTAAAAAAAAAAAAAAAAAAAAAAAAATTTTTTAAAGCAAGCGACGACATTTTCATTCTTGTAAAATTAATGATAAATGTTGAATAAATTATGAAAACCTTTTTCAATTTTTTTTTTTTTTAAGGAAGAAACTTAATTAGGGGAGGAGGAGGAGGGGTTACCTACCCCCCTCCCTTAATTAAATCCTAATCGTAATTAAAAATTAAATTTATCATGTCTTGGAATTTCAACTTTTTCCCATTTAAATAAATAAATAAATAAATAAAAGGTAACCATCATCATTATTATCATGGTATCGTTTACTGTTGTTGTGTCTTACAGACAAAGAATGCAGACGACTCATTCAAATAGAAAAAAAAATTTTTAAAGTCTTCGATTTATTATTATTAGTAATTTAAGACAAAAAACAACAATAACAATAAATAATAATAGTAATAATAATAATAATAATAATAATAATAAACAAATCAGCTGATTGATTAACTAAACGGTGAATAATGATTTAATAACGCCCTCAATAATCAACCGATAAACGATAATTTTAAAATAATATAAAACAAAACAATCAATTTTAAAATTTGTTGTTGTTGTTTGTTTGTTTGTTGGTTTTCATCATGTAAATTATACAAAAAAAAAAAAAAAAAAACTAACCTTATAATAATGATAATTTTAAATATATTTATAACAAACGTTAATGAAAAAATACACATTTTAAATCACTTTAAAAACGACAAAAACGACAACAACAACAACAACAAACTTCCTATGCAAGACACTACCAAACTATTTATAAACAAAGAATCAAGTTTTAACATTCACACACACACAATAAGTTTAGTCATCTAATTCCTTCTTTCACTCACACACTCACACACTTAATTTCATTTATGATCGCATTTTAAAATATTCCTACCTACCTACGCTACTGATTCTATCGTTTATTCTCTATACATTTTTATTTCTTTTAAAAATGTTTGTTTTCTTGTTGAAGAACCTAAATATCCTTTGGACTGATGAGAATTTTTATAAAAAGCCCCTTCACTCTACACCCTTCCCCCTCCCTCCCCAAATTTCTTTTTGTTTATTCTCAACCGTTTTAATCATTTTATTTCTTATCTATTCAAATTAATATTTTTGATTTATTTTTGTCAAATCACAAAAATCGAAAACCATTTTAATAAATAATTTTTATTTAATTAATGTGCATCCATTATTTTTTTAAAAATTAAACATTAAAACATATTTTTTGTTACATTATTATGTATGTGGTAGATTTCACTTAAAATGATGTTTGTCGATAAATCAATCGATACTTCTAATTAAAGTTTTTTGTTATTATTTAGAATTTTAGTTATTCATTATCGAATATTTATATTTTATTAACTTTATGAAACATAATTTGATACATAGTTGAAATTTCCTCCATGAAATTATCAAATAAATTATTCATTTAACAAAACAAATTAAACATTAATGAAATCGAATAAGTAAATTTATAAATTAAAAAAGACTTCGATTGTGTTTTTCATTAAACAAAAATTTAATTATTACTTCTTGCACCTTAAAAAAAAAAAATTGATTTTTATATAATAATAATAATAATTGTAATAGATATCAAATGTGTTGGTATAAAACTTATCGTTAAATGTTTTTGAGTTAATAACCAATTACAATTATTTAATATAAGATAACTTTTGTGTTTTCGATTAATGCTTACATTCGATATATATTTATTTACTTTGTATTTAATTAATTATAATTAATTTTGTGATGAAATTTAAGAAATTAAACCTTTTGCAAATAAGTGTGAACATGTGAATAAGTACTCATTAGTCAAGAGTTTTAAATAAAATGCATCAACCTAAATAAACATAATTTCATCATAAACTAAATATTTAATTTAATAGTTACAATTCAATTATTAAGTGACACACACACACACACACACACATTTAAATTTAGAAAAAATAAATAAATTACCTACGAATAATTATTAATAAATAATTATGTATGAGTAAAATAGGGTTTTATAAATTAAAAATTAATTAATACTTAGGCAATGTAATTGATAAGAGCGGTACCGGTTGTAGAAACCAGCACAGCAAGCACGTTTTGGTTAAATTTTTTTTTATTTTTTTTTATTGACACACTTAAATAAATATTATTATTAATTAAAATATACTTACTTGTTTTTTCTATTAAACGAATTCATAATTTTAATAAATTTTAAATAAGAAAACTCATTTCATTTTACTACACACACATATTAATTGTAATATTTTACACCGCACGGTTCAACATTTTGAAAATTCAGTAATGCCAACCTAAAAATAAACGTTGCAAAAAAAAAAAAATTTCAGCAATTGAAATTATTATTACTTTTTTTTTTTTTACTTAATTTAAAATAATTAATAATTAATAAAACACAAATAACAAAATAATCGTCAGTTATTAATAACAAATCAAAAATAAAGTAATAATTTAATAAAATAAACAACTGACAATGCCAATGACAACTTTGCGCGGGAGTAGCCGCCATATTTAAAAACTTAAAAATGTCTAAAGTATTCACAAGTATAAAACATAACCGTTTTTTAAAATTATTTTAAACCGTTTAAACAAAAAGGAATATTAATTAAATAAAATAAATATAAAACAAATAAGAGCACTGCCATTTATATTAAAATACTAAGCTTGAAACATTTTAATTAAAAAAACAAAACAAAAAAAATTTAAAGGAAATTATTATTGTTTTGTAAATATTTTTAAAAAATGAAAAATAAATTTAAAATTTTGGAAAGAAATAAAAATAAATATTCAATGGCAAAAACATATCGAGAAGAAGACTTTAATACAATTTTCAATAATTATTATTTCATTATCATTATCTTAATTAAAAAAAAGAGAAAGAAAATTTTTTAAATCAATTCATTTGGGTGTGAGAATCCTTCCACATAATAAATATCTCTAATAATTTTTTTTATTTTAAAATGAAATAATTAATAAATTCGATTTAATTAATCAATTAATATCAATTAACTCCCTTAAAATTTTTATCATTAAATTTATTATTATTAATAATAATAATAATAATTTCAAATTAATTCATTTTTTATTATTTCATAAGTTAAACATAATCCAATATTTTATTACCTTTACAATGATAGTATCAAGAACATAAAGTTTTTCCTATTATTATTATTATTACATTCACTCACTCACAAAACATTTTTTATGTTTAATAAAAAACAACAACAACAACAACAACAACCTCATACATCAATTATGTTTTCTTTTTGTCATTTTTTAATAAATAAATAAAAAACAAATTAATTATGTATATATATATATATATATATTTTTTTTTAAATTCAAAATTTAATTTAAACGGTTTTACCAATTATGACAATAATAATAATATTTATTTATTTATTTATTTAATAATAATAATAATTAATGAATAAATCACAAATTCGATTTAAAACGTGTTAAAGTAAAAAAAAAAAAAAATTAAAATTAAAATTAATTAATTAATTAATTTGTTATACATTTTACGTAAGCTCAATACGTAAATAATTTATTAATATCGATAATATCGAATCGAATCGAAATATATAGAATGAAAAAATATCGATTCGAGTATTTTTTCGTTCGTTAATAAACAACAAAGCCTTTATTTATCATTATAATCATCGTTTTCAATTACAATAAATAATAATAATAATGATTACTGTTTTTAGACTGTTAATAATAATAATAATAATAATGTTAATGAGTCGTTAAAGCAAAACGATGACGTAATCAAATTTTTTTTTTCCTTTTTTTTTCGCTCGTCAAATCGACAAACGTTCTCACAGTGATTGAATATAATAAAAAAAAAAAACTTTTTTTCTTTTTTTCTTTTTTTTTTTAAATTAATAATAATAATAATATGATATATAAATGATTAATGAAATCATTTTATTGTTAATCAATCAATCAATAAATCGATCGATCGTTATTCCGGTGGCGGTATTATTGGTATCGCTGATTTTTGCCTTCTCGCCGGCGGTGCTCTCAAAGGATTTGAATTTTGACATTCCGTATGATAATATGTTATCCCACCTGATGTTTGATACATTTCACCCGGTTGATTCTGGAAATCATAACACATATAAACATTAAAACTAAAACCCCTCATTAATAATAATAATAATAATAATAATAATAATAACGATGATAATTGTTTGTTGTTGTTTTTTTTAAGAGAAGGCAGTGAGTGAAATGAGAAAAATCAAAATTATTATTATTAAATTTTCCTCATAATTTTTCCCCCCCCCCACTTCTTCCTACTTTTCTTTATTTTTTTTTTCAATAATAATAATAATGATAATTTTACCCGGTTTCTCATATTAATCATCATTATTTCCCTATATAAAAATTATTTTAACGTTTCTTACTTAAACTAATTATTAACATTTTAGTTTTTTATTATTTTTTTTTATAAAAGTACAAATTAAAAAACATAAAACATAAAAAACATAACATAAAACATAAAACATGATATTTCATTTACTGAATGCAAAAAAAAAAAAAAAAAAAAAAGAAAACAAAACCTGAAAAACACATTAATAATAAAAGGGTCGGAGCCATATTTTTTTTTTTAATAATTCAAATTTCTTTGATTCGTATTGCACTGATAAATTACCGCTGAATAAGGAGCGTATCCGGTATAGGGTCCCATCAATTCCGAGGCTCCGTAAGTGTGGGGATCAATGTCGATGTACATCGGAGGAACGAAATTGGGTTGAGGAGGCATCGGACCCTGTTGAAGTTCGATGGCTTGCAAACCGGGAACCTGTGGACTTAGAGCTTGCTGTGGAATTCCTTGAGGACTCAATGCCTGTTGCAAACCTTGAGGACTCATACCCTGCTGCGGTATTCCCGTTATTATCGGTCTCGATGTCAAGTAACCCGGATTACCTGCGTAAAAAAAAAAAAAAAAAAAAAAAAAAAACATGCGAAACGAGTAATTTTTATTTCTCTTCCCCCCCTCTCCCCTTTCCACGTTTGCAAACATTACAAAAAAAAAAAAAAAAAAAAATTTTTAAAATCACCGTTGTAAGCTCCCGGATACCTCCTGATAACGCTTTGAATATTCAAAGGTTGCTGTTGTAAACTCATGTGTTGATTTTTAGGTTGTTGATCTTGTTGCTGTTGCATTTGTTTTATTTCTAACGGATCGATTTCTACAAAATAAAAAACGGTCGAAAATGAACGAATCATCCTTCGGGAGGAAGGTTTAATTATCTTATGACGAGGAGGAGTAAAAACACTCACCGACAATTTCTTCGGGAGGGAAAAAACCCGTAAAACCTTTTCTATTCTTCGAATAACGTTTCGGATTCAGTCTGTTTGCCGAACTGTCGAGTTCTTGTTCGGTTATTTCATTTGTCGAGTCTTGTCGATTATCTGAATTATATACACACATATTCGAAATCATTATTATCATTATCATTATCATCATTTTTTGTTCGAAAACGAAACGAAAGTAGACACACACAACAAACCTCTCATCCCCGTCGAATGTTTATTATTGTGAAAAGTCATTTGACCGAAATTTTCCGACAAATGACCCACATCCGTATCCCCGGAATAATTTTTATTCGATTCCATGTTTTTGACTACTCCGTGAGATTCTTCCTGATTTATTATTTTCGTTCTTGTTGTTTTTATCGGTTCTGAAACAAAAGAAAATAAAACGAGGGGTGAGTATTGCTCGAGAGGGTAGTAGTTAAAAGGAAGAAAACCATTTTCCATTTTTACCTCTCCTGAAATTATTATTCATTTTTCCTTTCGTTTTATCGAATTGCCTGAAAGGTTTGATGTGATCCTCTTTGTGATTCATTTTTTTATTATTTTGTATCGGGAATTTTCTCGTTGAATTTATTATTTGCGTGCCGTTTCGATTGGGAGCATAATCATCTCGTATCGTCGTGTTAGATGGACCACTCGTCGGTTTCTCGTGATTAATTATTATTTTGTGATTTTTCTTCTGTACGCTGTTGTCTTCCTCTCCTTTTTTCCTCGACGGTGATTTCGGTGAAGTTTTTTCAACGCTCGAATCTTTTTTATCTGTAAAATCGATATAAACATTTTTTTTTAAAAAGGATTCCTTCCCGATTTTATTAGAAAAATGTAAAAATCTCTCACGATTCGATGGAAGCGGAGGAAATTCATCCTTTCCAAAAGATTTCTTTTTCCCTCTTCTTCCCTGAGCATTTTGTTTAACCATATAAGCTTGTTCATCTTCCCAATTTCTATCGTATTTATCAGGTCCTCGTCTGAAAAACGAAAAAAAAAAAAAAAGTTAAAATGTTTTCAAAAGCGAATTTTTTTTTTTAATTTGTCAATTTTTCCAAATTCGCACCCGTATTTTCTTCTCCTTCTTGCTCTCGGCGGTGCTTCTTCTTTTCTTATATCGTAACCATAAGTTTCAATTATTTCTGCTCTTGATTTTGGAGTTTGTTCTGATTCTTCGTACCAATCGTGTAACCACCTTTCAGATTCTTTCGATTCTTTCCATACTTTCTTTTTTTTTTCAACATCTTGCGGATCTTTGTTTTCTCTAAAGAATTATTATTATTATTAGTATTATTATTATTATTAGTATTATAATCATGGCTTTTCACATTAGTCACAGTTCTACGGTTCGTGAACACGTTTAAAAATTTTATTTCAAAAAAAAGTACTCAAGTACCTAAAAAATACTAATACACTTACACATCTTCCAACGATGTACGATTATCGTGTTCGTAAAAGGCTCCACCTTTGGGAATGTACTGAGGATTTCTCCTATCTTGATCGTGATCCAAAGGTTTTTCAACTTTTGATTCTGGCACGAGTTCTTTATCATCATCCTCATCTACATCGCCATCATCACCATCACCACCACCACCACCATCACCATCTTTATTCTCTTCTCCATCAACTTCGCCACACTCTTTCGTCGACAGGACGCTTTCATCATTATCCTTAACCTTATTGCTTTCATCTTCTCCTCCTTCTCGTCTTTTCCTATCATCATCCTCCTCCTCCTCCTTGTGATTGGTTTCATCCGTTGTTACTTTTTTATCATTTTCCTTATCATCACCCGAATCATTTCTTTCAATTACAACATCATTTTTATCATCTTCACTTTTAACATCAGTTTCTTTATTTCCATCGTTTACAGTAGTAACGTTTTCAACTTTGTTTTTTTTATCATCATCAATATTTTCTAATTCTTTTTTATTTTCACATTCGTCATCATCACCACCACCACCACCACCTTTTGTTTTCTCATCCTTTTCCGTTTCATTCTTTTCCAAATTATCATCATCGTCTTTATTAATAATAATATTATTTTCAATTATTTTTTTTTCATCTTTACTTTGTTCACTCTTTTCTTCTTCTTCGACTTTTTCATTACTACTACTTAAATCATTTTTTTCTAATTCATTTTCATTCTTATTTTTTACTCCTTCTTCTTCTAAATCATTTTCATTATTACTTTTTTCTATTTCTTTATCTACATCATTAATTTTTTTTTCAGATTCAGATATTTTATCACTTTGATTAACAGATTCAGTTGTTGTTTTATTTTCGACAATTGATGATTCTCCATCACCATTTTCAATTTCTTTTTTTATATCAGTATTTTCTACTGTCGATTCTTGAACATCATTTCTTTCTACACTATCTACAACATCCTAAAAAACATGAAAAAATTTTTTATAATTTAATATCCTTTCTCTTTCGACCTCCATTTAAACAACAAAAAAAAAATTAAAAAGTCTTATTATTAAATATTTTTCATGCTAATCGATTTTAATGATATTGAAAATTAACATGAAACAAACATAACACAAAAACATTTAAAACAATGAGAAAAACATGTTTTTCAAACACAAAATTTAAGAGGGAACAAAAGTAAAATAATTATTAGAAATTTATAAATCTTAAATGAAATAAACAGATAGATTAGTACAATTTTGAAAATTAAAACATGATTTTTCATAAACCATCGAAACCGGCTCGAAATTCTTCCAACAAAAAAATATATCGATATTGCATTTTGATTTAGTAAATGTGAATGAAAAATGAATCAAAGAAAAATTAATTCAAAAAGTAGAAAACTCTTTTTTGAAAATAAATCTATGGCAAGCATTTTAAAATGGTTATAAATGATAACCTAAACATCGACTAATAGTTTTTTTTTCATGTGGCATCGAAAAAAAAAATTCTAAACTCTTCCTCATGTCTGATTAAACCTTTTAATTTAAATATTTATGATTTTAATTTTTTTAACACAAACAACATTATTTACTAATATTCAAGAACCTACATAATATTTTTTTTTTTTTTTTTTAGGCATTTAAATTTATATTTTGATTTTAAAAAAAATAAATAACAAAAAACTTTTGTTTAATGAAACCTAATTTAAATTTTATTAACATTAACAAAAGGTTAAAAATTTTTTGTTAAATTAAAAAGTAAACCATATGCTACGTAAATAAAAAAAAAATTAAAAGTTTTTTTTTTTTTTTTTTTTTTTTTGCAAATATTATAATTCGTCATAAATAAAATATTTAAACATGTATTTAATTCCAATATATTTCCAAGTAATATGTGGGTCATTTATTAGGGGCATAACATAAATATAAATCATTTTTATTAATTATATATATATATATACCTGTTTTAATAAAATTTTATTTAGGACGAGATATAAAAGTAATAATATTGGTAGATAAATGAATGGCACAAGTATTACGGTAAAAGTAGAACTTATTATAATTACTTGGTGTACGACACCCGGTCAAAGTTGAACGATCCCATATTAATATTAAATTAAAATTAATTAAACAAATTAATAAATTTTTAATTTTAATTCCTTTATTTTAATAAATTTAAATTTTATGTGATTTTAATTACGAAACTATAATTATAATTAAACAATTAATAAAATAAACTTACATTTTTTTCTTGATCTTGAGTTGTGTTCGCCATGATTGAAATGCCATAGAGTAAACAAATATTAAATATTAATACTTTGAAAATTGATTTGCTGCCATTAACTGAAACTTTCAAATCTCGTATTCATAGGGGGGGGGAGATAAAAAATTTTAACGTTTAATTTATTTTCTTTAAATTATTAAATAAATTTCGAAAACTTTTAAAAACTCTACTTTAATAATATGTTTTAAACGGTCACATTTTACACGACATTTTCTATATAATCCAATATACATTTTTTACTAATTTTGCTATAATTAATGTAACAAATACGTATTAAAACACAATTAATAATTATTTTATTAAATCGTTATTATCATTAAATTAATAAAATTAAATTATTTGAATATAAAATAAAAATTAATTCTATCAAACAATTAAAAAATAAAAATAAAAAAAATTTTAGGACGAAAAATATAAATATGGCCGCAAATGTATTTACAAAAAAAAAATTTTTTTTTTACTTTTCCTCAAAAAGTTTTAAAAAAATATGTTTAAAAAATTATATATTATTAATTAGTTAATTTCTCAAATCCGTTTTAAACGGTTATTTAAACGAAAAATAAATTTTTTTTCTTTTTGCTTTTATTCATGATAAACTTGTCCGTTAGCAAATTTTCTAGTATTAGTTAGTAGCTTATCTTATCAACGAAAATGTTTTTTTTTTATTTTTTATATAATTGTAAATACAAAATTAAATTTTTTAATTTTTAATTTTTTTTATTTAAATATTTATTACATAAACATTATACTATCACGTTATTATTATTAATTTTTTTTTTATTTCAGATTTTAAATCGTATACAATCATTATAATCAAACGTTATTTATTTTAATTAAAAAATGAACAACAAATCATCGTCTCCGAATTTAGCTAAAAAATATTTTACCATTGCTTCAGTTGTAACCGCTTATTGGATCATATCAATATCGGTAGTTTTCATTAACAAAACATTATTTTCATCAAATTACATAAATATTAATTCACCATTATTTGTCACATGGACTCAATGCATAACTTCCGTTATCATATGTTATGTATGGAAAAAATTATCCGAAATAAATCCTAGGAAAATTAAATTTCCACAAAGCAAAACGTTTGCTTTGAAAACAATCAAAACGATTTTACCAGTTAGTTTTTTATTCGTATTAACAATCGGTTTTAGTAATTTAGCATTAAGTTTTGTCGAAGTTTCTTTTTATTTTATTAGCAGGAGTTTAACGACGGTTTTTAATATATGTTTAAGTTATTTAATATTACATCAGACAACGTCTAAAAAATCAATTTGCTGTTGTTGCATTATTATTTTCGGTTTTTTTTTGGGTGTCGATCAAGAAAATGTCGTGGGAAGTTTTTCACTAAAGGGTACCCTGTTTGGAGTTTTCGGTTCATTATCTCTCAGCCTGTATTCAATATACACTAAAAAAGTTTTGAACGAACTCGATAATCAAGTAATATTATTATCATATTATATTAATATATATTCATCGATACTTTTCATACCATTTATTATATTAAATGGCGAATTGACAAATTTATATTCTTTTAATTTTAACGATTATTATTTTTGGTTTTTGACCGTCATCGGGGGAACATTTGGATTCCTCATAGGATTCGTAACTGCACTGCAAATAAAAGTAACAAGTCCTTTGACACATAATATATCAGGTACTGCAAAAGCTTGTGCTCAAACTGTTGTCGCAACATATTGGTACGATGAAGTGAAACCCTTACTCTGGTGGTTTTCTAATTTTGTCGTTCTCTTCGGAAGTGCTGCATATGCAAGAGTGAAACAATTGGAAATGATAAAAACCTAATGAAAATAAACTGATGGAAGAAGACAAACCTATCAAACCTAAGGATTCCGATTGTTGTGGTTCAGGTTGCAAACCGTGCATATTCGACGTGTACGAAGAAAATTTAAAAAAATGGAAATCCGGTCGATTAAATAAAAAAAAAAACAAATCGAACGCTTTAAAACAAGATAAATATTCGCCATTTTTAATCATCGATTCGAAATACGTAACGGATACTTTAATATTTATTCAATTCAAAGGAGTTCATTTGAAAAAAAATTCTTGTGATGACGTTCGTTTGGAAAATACTGTCGTGGATGTAGATTACGATTTATTAGAGGGTAAATTAAACATTCAATCGGGAGAATATTTAATACTGAAAGGATATAACGAAGAAAATCATTTGATTTCGAGATCGTATACCCCCGTGTTAAACGAACCGGAAAACGACGGTTGCATTTTCGCCATATACGTTTCGCTGATAAAAAATGGCAACATGTCGGAATTCATACGTAAGGTTAATGTGAACGACATTTTATTTTGGAGGGGGCCCTACACTGAATTTAAATACGATAGAAATTCCTACGATCATTTGATATGTTTTGCCGGGGGTACCGGTATCGTACCTCTCTATAATATTACAAAATCCATCGTTTTGGACGATGATGAAAATACTAGGATAAAATTTTTGTGCAGTTTTAAAAGTGTTAAACACGTCATACTTAAAAATGAATTAATTACCTTAAATCATTATTGGAATTTCAATCTAAAAATATTTATATCGCGTGATGATGACGACGGCTGTGATGATGATAAAAAAAATAAATCTACTTACAATGAAATCATTAAACATAAGAAAATCGATGAATCCATTGTTTCAAATGAAATAAACGATTATGAAGATGAGAATGTTCTCGTCTTAATATCTGGTCCTCAATCATTTAATGAATCAATCAAAAATCATGTACTAAATATTGGAATTAATGAAACTAATATATTTATTCTTTCATAAAATTTCTTTGTTCAAATTCATTCAAGAAACCTATTTTGTTTAAAAAAAAAAAAAAATTTATAATTTTTGACATAAATAAACATTATTAAATAATTTTTTAAACCTTTTCTGGTCCCATTTCAGCTATGCTACCCAAATTATAATAATCTCTTAATGATATCATTGTAGGATCTTTGGGTTCGACTTGAGGCTTCGACGGATCAGGTTTCCATCCTATGAAATAAACTATTTGAAAAGTTGCCGGTATTCCAGTCAAATCTCCAATGTTTTCTAATTTTGTATTTTCTACAATAGAAACAAATAAAAAAATTCAAGAGTAAATCCAAGGAAATTAATCACAAAATAAAATATTTTTAAAAAATTACCATAAAGTTCTTTGTAAATAACAGATGCAGCTAATAAAGTGTCTCTGGAAATGTGTAAACTCCTATTCCATGCCGCATTACTTTCACCCATACCTTTTAAATCATTCATTAATTCAAATATTGTAGGATATCTCACAACTATTTCATCTACATCAACTGTTTGCATGTTAAAATTTGCTGCTGATAATAAACTGCTTATATCTGTTGGTTTTGTAAATGGTGAAACATGTGGAGAAATGCCTCCTCTCCTATCGAGTTCGGCTAATTGTAACGAAGACCTTTTCGTAGTTAAAATTTAACATTAATAAAGAAAAAATTTAAAAATAAAAAAATTTCCCAAATTGTTTTTTTTTTTTTTAATGTAAATGATACCTTAATTCATATAATGTGTCTATTCCAAACATTGATCCTAAAAAAACTCCATCAACTTTTAATATTTTATTAACTTGTTTGAAACAGTCGGGTAAATCGTTCACCCAATGTAATGCTAAATTACTTATGACCATATCAATTGTTTCAGGTTGGAAAACATCTTCTAAATGTTCTTCATCACAGACGACTTTTTTCACATTAACGTTAGGATCGTTACAAAAACTTTGGGATAAAAGCAATTCGCTATTATCGACCATGATTAAATTTTTAATCGTATCCGATTCTATATTTTTCGATACGTAACCCCGACTCGATCCTAAATCAATCACAGTATCAAATTTTCTTTTTATATTAAATATTCTATCAGAGACTCTATAACCTATTTCTTCTTTTAAATAATCGTAAACTTCAACGTCTTTCGATGAGGCCGCTTTTTCCCTTTGCAATAATTTACATTTTCTATCGAATACGTTATGTTTTAATATTTTTTGCGATTTGTTAGCTATGCTACCACCACCACCACCACCCCCACAACTTGTCCTGTTATAATGATTAACGGAAAAACATCTTTCAATTTTTATTAAATTTTTTTTATTTATGTATGGAAATTGCAACAGTTTAACTAATCCCGTTAAATTAATACAATTACGAGCGTTCATTTTAAAAAAAAAATTAATTTCCCGTCACTATAAACTATCGTGTAAAAAAAATCATTTTAAAATAATTATTTTCAATCGCGATCCACTAAACAAAAATAACGAAACATCTTCTGCTCTACAATTATTTTTCAGGGCCTTATTTAGTATTTTTATCAACGGTTGTTTTCCATAGAGTAAACAAATGCTATAGACGATATCCGCTCATTTAAGTTTTAAAATAAATAACAAACCGCTTAACGAAATAAATATTTGTATATATATATATATTTATAATAATAAAAAATTCAATATATAGTATATATCTTTTTTTAAATATAAATTACTTTTTCTTTAGTTTTTTTCCTTTTGCATGTAAAAAAAATTAGTTTTTCCCCCTCCCCTCTCCCCCCCGTTTGTGAGAAGTTAAAAAGAGGAAAATTTTTTTTTTTTGGCGAAACTGGGGAGACTACAAAATGGAGGACTCTCAAAAAATGATGACGTAAAATCATAATCATCATAATCATCATCATCATCGCGTTATTAAACCGTTATTCCTTTTATCGTCCTCCATTTTAAATTTTATCTCATCAAAGAGTTAAATTACTAAAAGTAATAATTACCGTCGGAAGCCGCCATCGCACACCCGCCAAAACTTTACATTTTCGAAAACGTTTTAAAAAATTAAATTAAATTAAATTAAATTAAAAAAAATTTGTTGATTGTTCGTTGTTTTTAATAAAGTACGACGATGTCTTCCACGGCATCATGCTCTTGACAATGACAACATCCTCGTGATCGGAACCCAATAAACTTTCTTGTGCTTCCGGTTTTTGAAAATCTTTTCCTAACAACCTGGAAAATTTAATTTAAAAACAAACAAATTATTATTATTATTATTATAATTCGAAAAGTATAATTCTTCTTAAAAAGATAAAGAAAAACTGAAAAGATTAAAATCAGGTTTATTTATTCGCGTGACTCCTCCTCCTTCTCCTCCTACCCTCCAACCCCTCGCCCCGCCCCTTTTTTTTTTCTTCGATTAAAATTATTACACGAGTGTAAAAAATAGAAAATAAAATAAAAATACTTACGATAGAATTAGAAGAAAAAGAAAATAGAAAGAAAATGATTTTTTTTATAAAAAGAACAGTTTGTTAATATGAAAACGTGCTTAATGATCCCCATTTAATATTTAGTTAAATATTTACAGGAAGTGATCGTTAGTATCGATGATTTTCTCACAAACACACACACACACACACACAATTTCCGGTTCCTCTTTTTTTTTTTTTTTAAATTTTAAAAACCCGTTTAATTAACCCGTTATAAAAAAAAAAAAAATTTTCGCGGCAAAAACACTCAAAAGTTTTTAATTAACAAAAAAAAAAAATAAAATAAAATAAAACTTTTGGCGGTTGAAATTTCAGTCTGTGAGCGATTCAACTTCAACATCAAATCTAAAAAAGTAACAAAAACGTACAAAAAAATAAATAAATAAATAAAATAAAAGAAAACAAAAGAAAAGAAAAGCATCAAAAGACAAAAAAAAAAAAAACCTGAAAAAACATTTTTAAAAAATTTTTGGCGGGAAAATTCAAAAAAAAAAAAAAAAAAAAAAACCCGCTTTTGAACGTGACCCACCCCTTTACACGAAAGGGGGAAGGCCCCCTCGAGTATTATTATTTTCCATCCCTGTAAACGTGAGTATTATTCACGGATAAAATAAATCATCTTCTGGAATCAACTGGAATGAAATGAATGGAATGGAATGGAAGTATTAGGTGGTTATGTTGCGTCTGTGGGTTAATCGTTAGAGCAAACTAAAATATTAAAAAGCGTTAAAAAAAAAAAGAAAAAACGGGAATACCATTGACTGATTAGCATATCTACTCATATCAATGGTAAGAAAAGGAGGACTTACTAGGTTTTATCATAATGTCCATCACCACCACCAACACCGGGGGAGAATAAATCCTGACTTTTTCTAATTCCTTTGATAAATCTGGCGTTAATAAAACTAAAGGTGGACAAAAAAAAAAAAAAAAAAATAAAAAAGGAATCGATTAGATCGGACGCGTGTGTAATGTTAAATTTTTAAATCGTTTTCAGGTAACAGGTGAGCATAACAAGAGATATTGATTGCCCTTACGAAGAGGTTTATAAATTATTCGACCGCGCCAAAGTGCTTTTTTCGATAATAGGCTATACCTAGATATTGTACTGCTCGTGGAACGTGAGAAAAGCGGTTTTTCTACGTCGTCCAATCCTTGATGTATCGAAATCCTTTCGTCCGTCGCCGTCGACGATAAAAATTCTAACGTTGTCAATTCTTGTCTCGTCGGTTTTTTGTACCTTAAATCGAATAAATAAATAAATAAGACTTGTTTTTCGTGCGATGCGACTCTAACCACTCTCTAAGTCAACTCACAATTTTAACATTAGGGAAGAACAAACTACTGATACGCTGCTAAGAGCCATCGCTGCCGACGCTATCCACGGTTGCATCATGAAACCGAACGGAGAAAAAACGCCAGCAGCGATTGGGATTCCTATTAAATTATATAGTGAAGCAAACAAAAAATTTAATCGAATTCGACGAACCGTTCGCCGGGATAAATCTAAGCAAGCGACCACATCCAAAAGGTCATTCTGAAAAAAATTACAAAAATTATAAAAAAATGAAAGAAAACGAGAAAAAAAAAAAGAAACAAACTTCTTCTCGTACTTTCATTAAAACAACATCGGCAGCTTCCACGGCAACGTCAGTCCCACTTGCAATGGCGATCCCGACGTCGGATTGAGCCAATGCGGGACTATCATTCACCCCATCCCCGACCATTGCCACTCTGTATCCTTGTTCTTGCAGTCTTTTAATTTTGGACACTTTGTGAGACGGAAGGACTTCTGCAAACACTCGCGTGATTCCCACCTGCAACCGTAACAAGTTCAAAAAGGGTTCGAGAAAGAAATAACCAAAAAAAAAAAAAAAAAAAAAAAAAATGGCGCCGATACCTGTTTGGCGATTGACACGGCCGTTTTTTTATTATCACCCGTTAATAAAATAACATCGAGACCCATTTTTTTCAATGTGAATACGGCTAATCTGGCTTCGGATTTCACCATATCCGACACACTAATCAAAGCCACAAGAGTTCCTTAAAAATAATAATAATAATAATAATAAATAAACAATAACCTGAAGCGAACGAGATTTGTGTTGACAAATATTTATCGGTTCGCGGTTCGCAAATAAACATACCATTAACCGCACATAGCACAGCCGTTCTTCCACCTTCTTCTTCTTCAATCATTCTGTTATTACATTCGGATGGAATGTCGATCGCATTTCTTTTCATCCATTCCCGATTTCCAATTATCACCTGGGAAATACAATCAAATTCTCATTGCATGTATATTAGAATTTAATTTATACCTCCTTTTTACTTATATACTACTCTCGAACCTGATATTCTTTATTTCCTTCTTCTATTAAATCACTTTCGTTTATTAAAAATAACTGTTGAAGATTAACTATCTGTTGATTTTCGGCAGATAAATCAATGTTAAAATTAACGGAGTCTATTGTTATCGTCCCGATGGATTTTGTTCTGAAACGCACAAAAGTGAATTTGGATCAAACAGAGATAGATATATAAACTTAAAAGAAAATTCAAGGATTTTCATACCGTCTTTGATTTTGATAATTTAATATCAATTCCGATTTTTTTCCGGCTTCTATTAAATCTTTAACTTGTGTCACCGTGCATTTTAAACCGCATCCGGGTACAGATTGAAAAGATGTTATCCTACCCAGGGAATCATTTCCCAAAACTTTTTTCACGAACTTGACGATGGCTTGGCAAAAAAAAAAAAAAAAAGTTAAATTATTAATTGAATGAATGAGAGAAGAGAAGAGAGAGAAGAGAAGAGAAGAAAAAGAACAAGGAAATGTAGACTCACCAGAACCGATTGGATGTTCGCTGTTACTCTCTGCCGTACCGACAACGCAAAGCAAAGAAATCAAACTAAAAACATTTTCTTTGACAAACATGCAAATACTCGACACTGAGGGAGCTCCTTTCGTTATCGTTCCCGTTTTATCAAATATTACGGCTTTCACCTAAAAAAAGAAGAAGAAAAAATTTCATTTTCTCATTTGATTTTTTTTTTTAAAATGCAAAAAAAAAAAAAAATTTGTACCTTGTGAGCGTTTTCTAAAGGCTCCGCTCCTTTTATTAATATTCCATTCAAGGCGCCGACACCGGTTCCAACCATGACTGCTGTCGGAGTTGCCAAACCTAACGCGCAAGGACAAGCAATTGCTAAAACGCTTAAAGCGCAAGGGAAAGCAAATTGAAGAATTATTTCTTCTCTTGTGTAACCTTCTTTATCTGCGGGCTGCGATTGAAAATATATATATATATAAACATATTGGAAAATTTAAAACTTTATCGAGTATTCATAGTTAAGTAAATGAATCTAACCGTTATGGGAAGGTAATCGATGTCTATGTAACCGACTATTATCCATCCGACGAGAGTGATTGAAGAAACGCAAATGACGAAGGGTACAAAATATCCGGCTATTTTATCCGCAAGCTGTTGTATGGGAGCTTTTGAAGTTTGCGCTTCTTCAATCAGTTTAACTATCTGAGAAAGCGTCGTGCTTTCCCCGGTGTGAGTTGCCGTTATTAACAAAAGACCATTTTGATTGATGGAACCGCCAATGACGTCCGCACCTTAAAACAAAAAACCGTAGACAACATTAACCTTAAGTGAAATGAGTAGTTTAAATAAAAAAAAATTCATTTGTTACGACCGAACCTGTTTTTTTGACAACGGGCATGCTTTCACCGGTTATTAAACTTTCGTCGCACGCCGAATGACCGAAAATAACTCTTCCATCGACTGGAACTTTGGCACCGGGTAGAATTTTCAAAGTATCACCGCGATGAACCAAATCCACCGATATTTGTTGTTCGGACATCACTTCAAAATTATCCCCAAGTTTAACCAAAAGCGCTTCGGTTGCTTTTAACGATAAAAGCTTCGATAAAGCTTCGGATGTTTTGCCCTTTTGGAATTGAATCACAAAGGAATTCGATTTAAAACATTTATTACGTCACGGGGGGGGGGGAAATATATAAGGATCTATACCTTGGCTATGTGTTCCAACCAACGTCCCATACTAATAAACATTAATAACATGGGAGGAGTGTCGAAAAAAGTAAGAGGACTTCTGGCTTGTTGAAGCAAAATGGCCACTATTAGTATTATGCAAGAATAAATGTACGATATAAATGTTGTCATGGTTATCAAAACGTCCATGTTTGTTGTTCTGTGTTTGACGGCACGGTAAGCCTGTATGAAAAAGTGGTAACCACCGAAAAACTGCAACGGAAAATATAAACAAAATTGGAAAAAACAAAATAATTTTTAACTTTTGAATAAATTTCAAATCGAAATTACCTGTACGGGTGTAGAAAATAAAAACATTAATAAATTTTCCAATGATAAACCGGGTATGATGCAACACATGTCTTTGTGATCAATGTATCCCAATTTCATTCCCAACATGAAATAAGCCATTATTATCATGCAAGGAGCACCGAATGCCAAAGAAACAAAAAATGCATTTCTCCATTTGGCAATGTCTTTTCTGAAAAAAAAAAGAGAAAGAGAGAGAAAGAGAGTGAGAAAGAAAAAAGAAAAATTTTCCATTCGAACAATCGATAAATGAACGTCTTTCTCTCTCTCAATAATATTATTATTATTATTATTATTATCACACACGTGTGTAAAATGTCAAACCTGTGATCCAAATACGCCCTTGATTCTTTATCTTTACTGCTAAGTATATCAGCTTTAAATCCTAATTTATTTATTGTTTCTATTATATCACGTGGTCCCGTTTTTTCTAAATCGTATTTGAATTTACCCTTTTGAGTTGTGAGAGCGACGGATGCGCTAAAAACGCCATTTATTTTTTTAACAGTTGATTCGATTTTGTTGACGCAAGATGCGCAAGTCATGCCCGTGATCTGTTACAAATTTAAAAATAATGAATAAAAAAAGACAAATAATTGTTGTTTCCAAGTTCAAAAAAAGGGGGGGGGGGAAAATTACCTGGAGTTCGATTTCTCCTTCTCCCGTACCAGGTTCGTTAATAATTTCCGTTGGAAAACCCAAATCAGTTATGGAATTTGCTATATCCGTGGGACTTATGAGTTGCGCATTGTATTTAACTTCCGCTTTTGCTGCCAACAAAGCTATTAAAACGCTTTCGACACCTGCAAAAAAAAAAAATAATAATAATAATAATTTTCCATCGCTTTCACATTTCATTTACGCTTGTTTCGACTGTATACATTTAACTTACCTTGAATTTTTTTACAATGTTTTTCAATGGCTGCCACGCACGATGCACAAGACATTCCCTTTATGTGAAGAAAACATTTCGAATACTCTACTTCCATGTCTATTGACATGCTCACCGTTTTCTTTGGGGTTTCCATCATACTTTCAACCATCGGATCGGTTTCAATCGGGAAAAGACCTTTTTAAATAAAAAAAAAATTTCCTAAATAAATTCGTTATAAATATTTAAATAAAAAAAATTTTCTTTTGACTTTACCTCCTGTTGGGGGCGGAGAATTTTGAAAATTAGTGTCGAAACCCATGTCTTCGATGGCAGAACGAATTTGAACTGGAGTCACGAGTGTCGGATCGTATGAAAAAGTACCCAATTTATTCGCAAGGCTGACCTAACATAAAAAAAAAACAAAAGGAAACCTTTTTAACTAAAACAACAACCTCAGTTAAAGGTAGTAAAAAAATCGTTTTCCAATTACATTAACGGAATTGATTCCTTTGACTTTTCCAATGGTCGTTTCGATGTTTTTAACGCAAGAATTACACGTCATTCCTTCTATGTGTATCAAAACGTTGTTGGTGTTTATCTCGTCGTAAAAACTCGCATCGAAACCCATTTCCTGTATGAGGTTGACCAAATCAGACGACGAGAGAAGTCCTTTATCTATTAAAAAAACACCCTTACGCTTTTCCAAATTCACCTTTTCCAATAAAACAAAACAAAACAAAATTAAAAAATAAAATTCGTTCGAAAAATAATAATAATAATAATAATAATAATAATAATTATACGAACGTTCGCTTTAAGAACTCCGGGTTTGGAAGACATCGTTCCTTCGATGTTACGAACGCACGACATGCAAGTCATGCCTTCGATTTTAACAGCAACTTCCATTGTTTTCATATCGACCTCCTTTAAATTGAAATCGATTTTACTTTCCCCACCTACTCCACCACCTCCTTCTCCTTCTCCTTCTTCTTTCGCGGGCCACGAATAATCCAAATCCCTGGAAAAATTATGACAAAAAAAAAAACAAAATTTAAGCTTTTGTTATAAAGTGACGTCATCACAAAAATCATCTTTAAAAAATTCTTACTCTTCCGATAGGAGAGGCTGCGTTTGCTGCAGTGCGTTCCTTTTTAATCCTTTTCTTAAACTGACAACTTCATGAATTTGTATCAACGGTTTTCTTTCGTTTCTGAAATTGAACATTATAATGATGATGATAATGATGACAGTCGGTGACAAAACAAAAACAAATTATTAACACTATATTATTAAAAAAAAAAAAAAAAAAATTATTATTTTTCCCCGTTTTATTAATTTCACAGGTGTTTTTTAAATCTTCCACGTGACGACGACGACGATGATGATGATGATGCTGTCGTCGTCGTAGATTCGTTTCTCGTCACACAATTCTAACACAACAAGTAATGTTGATAAATAATAATAATAACAAACGACAACAAACAACAAACAATCGACGTGTTTTATTATTATTATTAAACGAAACCGTTCGTGCATGGAAGTAAACCTTAAAGGAAGACTAAACGACGGTTTCGGACGTTCGTTGTCACACCTCGTAGATAAATAAAAATTTTCCAATCGACAAAATGCGGGTTATTATTACTATTATTATTATTATTATTATTTTTAATTTAACACCTTCGTCCCACCATATTTTACACCTCCTCTCTTCTCCCCTCCCCTTCTCCTCCCCTTTCGAACTGTCGAAAACGCCGAATACGATTTCCGGAAAACAAAAAAAAAACCTTAAAACCGTTGTAATTTTCCTTTTCGCGCACTTTATCAGGGAAAAACTTTTTCTTTACACTTTTCCAAACTTATCAAAGACAGAAAACGACGACGACGATGATGATAATAATAATAACGAAAATATTTCAAACGGCTTTTTTTCTTTTTTTTTAACGGCAAACAATCCTTGAAATCGAATCACTTATTATTATTATTATTATTATTTAAATAAAATTTTATTTGTACGTTATGAAATTTCGGACGACTCGAACGGTTCGATTCGAACCGAATCGATTACTCGAATAAATTTTTAAAAAAATTGTTTTATTACGAAACTTTCTCTTTCAATCTCTGGCTGGACAACGAAAACAAAACAATTTTTTTTTTTTTTTTAACGCTATAATTAATTATGGCGAAAAGAAAAGAACAAAAAAATTAAAAACGTTTCCGTTCAATCACCTCGCGAACCAATTTTATTATTATTATTATTATTATTATTCAACGTTTAACGTTAAAAACTAAATAATTTCTAAAAAAAAAAATACTTGAAATGAAAATGATGATAAAAATTATCGAAGAAAAAAAGAAATTAATTGACAATGTGTTTGTGTCAAAATCTCAAGTGTTTTAACACAGATTAAATAAGTTAATTTAATAATAGAATTGATTTCATTTAATTTTTAAAAAAAATATTAAATGAAAGTAAATTGAAAAAATTATTCTTTTCGAATGCCAACTTTCATACTTTCTCTCTCTCTCTCTCTCTCTTTCTTTTGCCACAAGTAAAAAAAAACAAAAAAAAAACAAAATTCAATCATGTGTTTATTTACCATAAAGGTTTTTAGCAATACTGCAAACAAAATATAAAACTTTAACAAACGTTTAAAAAAAAAAAAAAAAAAAAAAAAAAAATTGGTTGTTGTCGTTATTATTATTATTATTGTCATTCCATGATTTTGTTGTTGTTGTTGTTATTGCCATTGTAGCAAATTATTAAAGATAAACATTACGGGGGCAGTTGTGGTAAAATATGAGAAATAAGCAAATAAGTAAAAAAAATTTTTTCAATATCCATTTACAACTTTTAACAACAAATTTACAACAAACATATTAAATTAAAAGGAAATAAAATTTGTTTGTTTGAACAATGAGTTGGCACAAAGTGACAACCATGACATTTCATTTTCCAATTCGATTTATAAATAATCGAAACTTTATAAAAAATTTCACATTTATTATCGATAACTATCACGGTGAACACATGGGTTGTCCTTCGTAATTAAGTTTTAAAAGTGCATTTACAAAAAAATTTTCATATGAAAACATTTCGCAATAATAATAATAATAATAAGTGCATGAGATAGTAGTAGTAGTAGTAGTAGCAGAAGATAATAAAAAATGTTATGTTTATGTATATAAAACTGTCCAAAGTGAATTACGACATGAAAAACATAATTTAAAAAAAAAAAGTTAAACATTTCCAGTTCTTACGAGAAATAAAAACAATAATCGAATTAATTAAATTGACATTGATCGAAAAGCACATTGACAGGCAACACACATCGCTGACAAAACATCATTTTCAAAAATAATAATAATAATAATTGTTTTATGTGTGATGTACGAAATGCAAACAAGTTATTTTTTTTTTACACGCTTGAAATAGTTTAAATAAAATAAAAAAATGTTACTGAATATTATTAATAAGATAAGGATAAAAAAAAAATACACTCACCGATAACGAAATTCCAAAAGTCATTTTTATCACGACAAAAAAAGTAATAATAATAATAATAATAATTTTTTTATAAAATTGAATGCACGAATCACCGAATAATTTTTTTTATTATTAAAAAATAATCATCATCATTATTATAATGATGTGAAAATTAAAATATAAATCGAAAGTTTTTCACGAGTTTAAACCATAATGGTGATATACATAACCAGAAAAAAATTAATAATTTATCATCATTTTCATATCTGATCTGAGAGTTTTCTCCTTTTGTTTATAAAGCAAAAAAAAAAAAAAAAAAATTAATACGACATTAATTATTAAATGCTACTAATAATATAAAACTAGTGAAAAAAAAAAAAAAAAAAAACCGTTACAATTTCAATTTATATTTTAAAAAGAAGAAATTTATCAATTTAATTAATGTACGAAAATAATTTTTTTTTGAAAAAAGTTAACCTGTTGTGATCTCATTCTGTTTATTCAAAAAAAAAAAACTTTCACTGTTCTATTAACAATTTTCGGGGCCCTACACGGCGAGACTTATATTCGATATTGAATCGAATAACCGGAAATTTATCTTTTCCCGCCAATTTCACATCGCGTTTTCTTTTTGTAATTATTAAATGCATTCTCGTGCTTGTTTATTATTATTATTATTATTATTATTACATTTTATTTATTTTATTTTAATTTAAAAATTATTTAATTTCATTTTAATTCCATTTTATTTTACTATTTATTTCCTCGTGCGCGCGCATATATAATTAATTTAAAAAAAAAATTTTTTCCAGCCTTTACTAAACGAAAACTTCACGTTATGCAATTTGCACGCTTGGCAAGAATTTTATTGCATAAACAACATTTTGAAGGGGCAAAATAATTTTCCTAACATTTGCAAATGCAATTAACTAATTTGCATTTTTTTAAAAATAAAATTTAAATTTTACGTAATAATAATAATAATAAGAAAAAGAGCTAAATCATTTCGGAAGGAAATTAAAAATTTTAAAAAATTAATTCTTAAAAGAAAAGCTTTACAGGAAAATTATTTCCATCAATCGGCCATCTTAAAATTTAACTAAATCGGCCATCTTTAAAAAAAAACTAGGGATTCGTTGGTCATTACACCCGGAGACGATTGAAATAAGTTCGTTACGACGTCCGTCGGTCATTTAAAACCATCGTGAAAAGTCAATATTTGAATAAGAAAAAATTTATTTGACAGTTTTAAATGCTATCCCGAGTTTTAATTGCACGATCATAAAAAAAAAAAAAAAAAAAAACAAATAAATAAATTTAAATTTGTTTGCATTAATTACCACTGCCATCTATCTGTCTTTTTTTAAACTAATATTTACATAAAAGAAAGAAATTTTTCAAAATGGTGGACAACAACAACAACAACTGTCAACTCAAAAACAACCAAAAACGAAAAAATTAAAAGGGGACAGAAAATCTTTTGTTTAAATTATGTTTGTCGTTTGTTTGTTTGTTTGTTTGTTTGCAGTCATTTAAGTCTTTTGTACGGTCAGATTCATGCATTTACACGAATTGATTTTTTCCCTTCGTGTTCTCTCCGTCCATTTTTTTTTTTTTTTCATTCTTTCTTAAAAACTATTAATGTAAATAATTAAGGGAATCTTACTTACGTAAATATTTGCGGTGATGACAATTGAAATCATTCAAGGTTTTCCTCAGAGTTTTGCTTTGATGATTTTGATGAAGGTGGTGTGTAAAAAACCTTGAATTAAAAATTATTTCCTTTGTTTCTCTCATGATTGATTAGAGATTTAAATAATGAAAAATAGAATTTTGCCTGAAACAAAAAAAAACAAGTTAACTTTAAATGTTTAAAAGCTCGTTGCAACCTAGCAATCGATGAATTCGTTGCCAACCAAACAAAAAAAAAAAAATCAATTGAGTTTTAAATACAAATTAAAAAAATGGCGACGGGGAAACGAAACAACAGACGACAGCCACACACACACACACACACACGCTCAATTCGTTACTTATATAAATTTGGCGACATTTTTCTTTATTGCGACACAAATTTTGAATAGTGTAAACAAAATACAAAAGCGCGACAATTTTTGTTTTTTTCCAACGCAATTTTTAATTTCCGCGTATGAGGAAAAGAAAAAAAATTAAAAATTAATTAGTTCGATATTATAAGTTGGCAACCTTGGAATAATAAAAAAAAAAAAAAACGGGATATTTTTTTTTTTTTTTAAATGATGAGAGAATCGGGAACCACAAAATAATAAAAAATGTTAATAAGAAAATTAAAATATTAATAATAATAATAATAATTAGAAAGAGGACGACGAGTGATTTAATAATAAAGGGCGTCAAAACAAGTTTTTTTTTTCGATTCAAATTTTTTTTTTTTTTTTGTTATCCGCCATTTTGTTTTTCTTTTCTTATTAAATCGATTAAAATACCTTTTAATGATTTCCTTGTAATCATAAATTCTTCGTATTTAATATTAAAAATAATTTTTTTTTTTTTTTTGCGTTCTATATAAATATCCCGAAAACGGGAAAACGGGAAAAAATATTATTATTATTATTTGATTATCAGGAATGCCACTTTAAAAACTTTATCGTTACGATTCCAAAGTGTATGACCAACCTAAAAAAAATAAAAAATAAATAACTAAATAAATGTGAAACCTTTTGCAACGAATTTTATTTCACGTATCGTAACTATTATTATT